GAGACCTCGGCTGATTCCCCCTAAAACTAAGAGGGGTTGGAACTATTTAGCACTTGAATAGGAGACTGGGGAAATTGGTGGACGAGAGAAAGGAACTGGAAGGAAGCAATGGGAAACCACTTCCCTATTTTTTTGCCAAGAATAATGTAGAGAACTAGGTCATCGACAGCTGAGGTTGACTTGAAGGAATCTTCATTTTGAGCTGTTCTAGTCGTTACTTGTTTGCAAGCTTTGGGATACGATGGAGCCAAACGTGATTATATTCAGGAAACTATCAGCCAACCAATATCCTGGTGCTGCCAAGCCCTTCTTTGCCTCTTTCTCCAAAGTCATGCCTAATTATATCCTCCAAGAAATTTTTTTTACCAAATGCTTTTGTGGAATATTGTTTCTCCTTCCCCATGCAACTTCTATAATGTTGGCAGGACAGGACGTCTTCTGCATTCCAGGACACCGAGCTATATGGAAGCAATACAACAGAGCTGGAACGTGTAGGCAGTTAAGATTTAGCCAATGAAAATGTAAACTTCTCATGGAAAACTCCACGACAGAGTGGCCATTGTTATCCTCTGCTCTGAAAGGAACCACAAAAAAAAAAAAAAAAAAAAAAAAAATCCAAAGGGATTTCTTGTTCAAGGAACCAGCAAATAGCTGTGATTTATATATATATATATATAAATTTATATATATAAATTTATAAATTTAAATTTATATATATATATATAAATTTATATATATAAATTTATAAATTTAAATTTATATATATATATATATATATATATATATATATATATATATATATATATATATATATATATATTTGCTGGACTGCAACCACAATGTGGAAACACGCAAGTTCAATTTTGCTAAAGTAGAGGGCTTGAGAAGGAAGGACTCATTGGAGAAGCGCCTAATGCTGGGAAAGATTGAGGGCAAGAGAAGAAAGGGATGACAAAGAATAAGGTGGCTGGATGGAGTCCCGGAAGCAGCAGGCGTGAGCTTAAATGGACTCCAGAAGATGGTAGAGGACAGGAAGGCCTGGAGGAATGTTGTCCATGCGGTCGCGATGGGTCGGACATGACTTTGCAACTAAAAACAACAAGAAGGGGGCTTGATACTAGCTCAAACTGTAGCCTACACACTCTTAGTGGTTTCCCTCTTCATTACTAGTGCTTCATCAGATTTAAAAAAAAAAAAAAACTAGAGAACTATGGAGATACTCAGTCATCCAAGTCATGGTTGTCCTAAAGGTGCTTTTTCAAAAGGCAACTGGACTTTTGTTTTTCTTTGAAGATGTTCTGCTTCTCATCCAAGAAGCTTATTCAGTTCTGAAGAAGCTTCTTGGATGAAAAGAGAAATGTCTTCAAAGAAAAAATGAAATTCAGTTGCCTTCTGAAAAAAACACCTTTGGCACATTTTAACCGCTAACCAGCCACACTTAGACATGGATAGACCTAAGGCAGAGGTCTTCAAATTTGGCCCTTTTATGACTTGTGGACTTCAACTACCAGAATTCCTCAGCCAGGGATGCTGGCTGAGGAACTCTGGGAGTTGAAGTCCACAAGTCACAAAAGGGCCAAGTTTGAAGACCCCTGACCTAAGGTATGCTGAGCCTAGAAACAACTTGGAGTTCTTCTCCCAACAAAGAATTTTCATTCCCACTTAGTTTGGCTTTTTCAAGGCAGATAGACTTTCAGGAAACAAATCGAGATTCCTTTATTCTTCGTCCACTGAAGAAAAAAATTATGTTTAATGACGAGAAAGACGAGGGGGGACAGGATAGCAGTCTTCCAGTATCTCAGGGGCTGCCCCAAAGAAGAGGGAGTCAAGCTATTCTCCAAAGCACCTGAAGGCAGGACAAGAAGCAGCGGATGGAAACTAAACAAGGAGAGAAGCAACCTAGAATCAAGGAGAAACTTCCTGACAGAACAATTAACCAGTGGAACAACCTGCCTCCAGAAGTGGTGAATGCTCCAACACTGGAAGTTTTTAAGAAGAGACTGAACAGCCATTTGTCTGAAATGGTGTAGGGTTCCTGCCTGAGCAGGGGGTTGGACTAGATGACCTCCAAGGTCCCTTTCAACTTTTTTATTATTATTGTTGTTGTTGTTGTTAGTCAAAATCTGAGAAGGGTCCCCCAGTCTGGTTTAGTTAAATTCTCCAAAGCACCTGAAGGCAGGACAAGTAGCAATGGATGGAAACTAACCAAGGAGAGAAGCAACCTAGAACTAAGGAGAAACTTCCTGACAGTGAGAACAATTAACCAGTGGAACAACCTGCCTCCAGAAGCGGTGAATGCTCCAACACTGGAAGTTTTTAAGAAGAGACTGGACAGCCATTTGTCCGAAATGGTGTAGGGTTTCCTGCCTGAGCAGGGGGTTGGACTTGATGACTTCCAAGGTACCTTCCAACTCTATTATTTTTAGTGTTATTATTATGTTTGAAAATATTTGCAGTAAAAGGAAACCAGATTGCCAAAGAACATGGTGGCACGACACCATCAAAGCTGACACCAGAGGACAGAACAACTCACACAAGTAGTGCAAGATTGGAAGATGTAGAGAGAACTGATCCACAAAATCACCAAGAGTTGGACATGACTGAATGGATAACATTATCATCACCATCGTTATCATCAACATCCTTCATCCAAAGACAGGAAGTCATCCTTCGAATGTACTGGACTTCCTCACGCCGATACTACCTCATGTAAAAGGGTTGCAAAAGAAATGTGGACCTGGCATATATATGGATGCCACCTGCGTGGCATGGATTTCCAGGGTCTCTGGCAAGATAGGTTGAAATGCAGAGGACTAGCCTAAACCAAAGCACAAGACTGAGGAAACTATATATTCAACCCAGAGAAAAAATGATTTTCTTCCCCACACATCAACTGAATCCCAAACAAGAGATTGTCCATTCTCCACTTCTCCTCTGCTTCTGTACTGTAGCACAGGGGTCTTCAAACTGGGTCCTTTTGTGACTTGTGGACTTCAACTCCCAGAATTCCTGGCTGAGGAATTCTGGGAGTTGAAGTTCACAAGTCATAAAAGGGCCAAGTTTGAAGACCCCCTGATGTAAAATATTGTTCCCGAACTCACCAAGAAATGTTACAACAAGAAGAGGGGCTGTGGTGGAAATATGGGAGTGTACCTTTATTGGAGAGAAAGAATGGTTGTGATTAATTGTATTTGCCAGCTGCAAAAAAAATGAAATCTAAACAAAACCAGGGCTCTTTAAAACCAGGAGGAACTGGTGGCATAGCCTTCTGCCTCTGGAGGACTTAATTGCCCTGATGGATCTTTCATCTACAAAATTGTAATTCCAGCTGAGCAGTTCATCACGTGAGAAGCAGCTCAGGAAAGCCATTTGAAATGCAGCTCTGCTACCCTTACGAAAACATTCACATTAATACAGGGATGCCGACATTGATCACATGCAAGAGCTCAAGGGCATTACAAGGGGGGGGGGGCAAAGCACCACTCCTTGAAATCTCAGGAAGAACACTGTACAAATATTAGTAGGAGCGAACTCAACACACAATATGGAAATTAGGTGGATAAAGCTGTACTTGAGGTAGTGGTTCGTTACTGGAGAAGGAAAGGAAGATAAAAGGAGAAAGGAAAGGAAAGGAAGGGAAGAAAGGAAAGGAAAGGAAGATAGAAGAAGGGAAAGGAATAGAAGGGAAGGAAGATAGATGAAGGAAAGGAAAGGGAAGGGAAGGGAATGGAAGGAAAGGGAAGGGAAGGGAAGGGAAGAAGGAAAGGAAAGGAAGGGAAAGGAAAGGAAAGGAAGGGAAGGGAGGAAAGATAGAAGAAGGGAAAGGAATAGAAGGAAAGGAAGATAGATGAAGGAAAGGAAAGGAAAGGAAAGGAAAGGAAGATAGAAGAAGGGAAAGGAACAGAAGGGAAGGAAGATAGATGAAGGAAAGGGAAGGGAAGGGAAGGAAAGAAGGAAAGGAAAGGAAGGGAAAGGAAGGGAAAGGAAAGGAAGATAGAAGAAGGGAAAGGAACAGAAGGGAAGGAAGATAGATGAAGGAAAGGGAAGGGAAGGGAAGGAAAGAAGGAAAGGAAAGGAAGGGAAGGGAAGGAAGATAGATGAAGGAAAGGGAAGGGAAGGGAAGGGAAGAAGGAAAGGAAAGGAAGGGAAGGGAAGGGAAAGGAAAGGAAGATAGAAGAAGGGAAAGGAATAAAAGGGAAGGAAGATAGATGAAGGAAAGGAAAGGGAAAGGAAGGAAAGGAAAGGAAAGGAAAGGGGACAGGATAAAGGGAAAGGGAAAGGGAAAAGGAAAGGAGGAAAGGAACGTAAAAGAAGACAAGAAAGGAAAGGGAAAGAAAAATAAAAGAAGGGAAAGGACGATAAAAAAAGGAAAGAAGATGGATGAAGGAAACAAATGGAACATAAAAGAAGGCAAGAAAGGAGAGGGAAAGGAAAACAAAAAAAAGAAAGAAAGACAGGGGGAAGGGTGAAAGGAAAGGAAAAAAAAGATAAAAGAAGAAGGAATGCCCAGGAAAACAATGTTCTACAACAGACAGGTCAAACACAAGGCCCGGGGGCCAAATGCAGCCCACAAAGTGGTTTCATGTGGCCCGCGAAGCCATCCTGGAAACAGTGAGGGAACGGCCCCCCGCTGCCTTGGCCCTGGCCCAGGCCGGCCGGGAGCCAATGTACAATTTTGTGGTGGCCATCTATGCTGAAACGCATTCGGTCTTAGTGAGGAATGAAGAAATGGACCATGCCTTGGTGCTTGCCCTGATCCCACCCCCTTCTGCCAGAGACCCTCAGATCTGCCCCACTCCTGCCCAGGCCCCCACAGACACCCTTGACGCGAATGATGTAGAACTGGCCACGCCCACCCAGTAGGCCACATCCACTCCATCCACGCCCACCCAGTAGTCCACACCCACCCTGGTCACACACACCCCAAGGGCAACCGCAATGCTGATGCGGCCCTCAATGAAATTGAGTTTGACACCCCTGATCTACAACCATTTACTTACCATTGAAGGTTAAGAACACCCGAGGTTGTGGCTGCAAGGATCCTTTTACACAGCAAGAGCAAAGAAACACCCCAAACAACACCTGGAGCCCTTGAAATGTCATGATCTTGGGATGCAAAGCTCAATATCCAAGAGAGGAAATCTGAAAGGAGAAAAGAGAGAAATGTTACACATTTCACAACCTGCAGGATCAAGTACAGTTTGATGGTTTGCCGCATTCTTCAAAATCTGGCAGGGCAAGCAGTTGGGGGGAAAAAAGTGGGGTGTGTGTGTGAGGAAACAGGACTTCAGCAAAGCCTACATTTAAGGATCAACTTCAACTTAATTCCACTAAGGACGATTCCCACCTGCTGGAAAAAATTGTTCCGTTAAATGTCAAGGCAGAACAAAGCAAGGGGCGAGCTATAAGGTTTCATGAATGAAAACGTCTTGATATTTTTAGACCTGTCTTTCCTGTACTCTTTCCAAAATGTAAAAAAAAAAAAAAGTCAGAATAACGATGCCTACCACTTTAGGCTTATCCTTATGTAAAATTAAGAATGGGAAATGGAAGAGGGAAAGGATGTGTGAGCAGTTGTGAAGAGGGAAAGAGGAGGAGGTGAAAGTGAAGAAGAAGGCAGAATAGAACGGAACACAACAGAACACAACACAACAGAACAGAATAGAACAAGAAATAGAATAGAAAATAGAATAGATTAGAATAGAATAGAATAGAATAGAATAGAATAGAATAGAATAGAATAGAATAGAATAGAATAGAATAGAATAATAGAACAAGGAATAGAATAGAATAGAACAAGAAATAGAATAGAATAGAATAGAATAGAATAGAATAGAATAGAATAGAATAGAATAGAATAGAATAGAATAGAAAATAGAATAGAAAATGGAATAGAATAGAAAATAGAATAGGATAGGATATGATAGGATAGGATAGGATAGGATAGGATAGGACAGGACAGGACAGGACAGAACAGAACAGAATAGAATAGAATAATAGAACAAGGAATAGAATAGAATAGAATAAGAAATAGAATAGAATAGAATAGAATAGAATAGAATAGAATAGAATAGAATAGAATAGAATAGAATAAGGAATAGAATAGAATAGAATAGAATAGAATAGAATAGAATAGAATAGAATAGAATAGAATAGAATAGAATAGAATAGAATAAGGAATAGAATAGAATAGAATAGAATAGAATAGAATAGAATAGAATAGAATAGAATAGAATAGAATAGAATAGAATAGAATAGAATAATTACTTTATTGTCACTTTGAATGTAAACTAATCAACATGCACCTCAAATGTACCCTACATGAATATGACAAAAAAAATTGCATATACCCAAATACCCACATATATTCTATGACACAGAGAAACAACACAGTCTAGTTCGGATGTATGCATGTACATGGCAAGAAAAACAGAGAAGAGAAGGAGAAGGTAGACAAGAGAAGGGGGAGGAGGAGGAGGAGGAGGAGGAGGAGGAGGAGGAGGAGGAGGAGGAGGAGGAGGCAGCCTTGGTACTTTCTAAGTTTAGAAGTTTTGTTGAAGACATTTCGTTACCAAAGTAGGTAACTTCATCAGTGCTGCCTAGCTCAGAGAGAACCAAGGACCCAACAACTCAACACTGACCTACAAATATTCTCTTCTATTGGTAAGAAGACAAAGGTTGTCAAGCACTCTAGGAATCCCTTAGCTCGTCTGGGCTTCGACTCCAAGCAGAATCCCTCAAGAAGAATGTTGTGGACTGCTGAGAACTCTGGAAGTTGACGTGTCCAGCTCCCTGACTAGCAAGGGAGTTTGAGAAGGCGGGAATCAAGAAATTGATGAAGCTGGAAGCAGCATAAAAATGTTCTCCCTCTCCGTTGTCACCGCTGATATGCCAGAAGGCCTGGGAGTTCCTGCCAAAACCTCCAAATCTTGGAGCTCCTTTTGAAAGCCCCCCCCCTTTGAAGCCAAGGGATATGGCTTTTACTGTAAATGGAGATGAATTTCTTCCCCGATCTCAACGGTATAAAACCTAATCAGGCACTACATGGGTTTGTTTGCCTTGAGCTTGCGTCTCAAGCAATCAGGCCTCTGTTGTGGCTTTGGCAAGACCATCCCGGGGCTAAACACCCAAAATTCTTGCTCAGCCTTCAACAATCTTACCCAACTGACAGCAAAGGCGCAGCAGAACCCTTGATCAAAGGAAAGTGACAAGCCTGATGCTGAACTTAGGAAGGCTACAAACACATTGATCTCCTGATTAGGCAGCGTAAATTCAATGGTGGATATTAATCAGCTGCAGCGATTCCATGCTACGAAACAGGAACACGGTTCTAAAAGGGACAAGAGGTAGCAAGAAAACGGGGCCCTACAACCCAAAGTTTCTTGAGGAAGTTGCAAAATTACAAAAGACAATGAAGGTAATTGGGTAGTTACATGCATTACCTGGGAAATAGGATAGATAGATCTTGACTGTTCTGAAAACATTTACAAGCACAGCCATTTTATTCCAATAGGGCTGAAGTGGAAATTATTTTGGTTTGAGCCCCCCCCCTCAAAAAAAATCCCCTTTAAACAGAGCCATCTCAGTTTAAGCAGTTTCCGAAATGTCGACGGAGATTATGTCTATTATTTGAAAAATATATGAAATGTTTATGAACAATTAACATTGCTCGGTACCCATTGCTGATTGTTGCTTAGCCAGCAGGCAAACTCCCATCAGATGCCGTTATCCAGTATATGTTTCAATATCTTCATATGAACATATATGCCTTTATTACAGATCAGAGGCCAGTCAACCACTTTCCCAAAATGTATACCCAAATATTTAGTTAACAAAAGCCTTACTTCTTAAATAGGACCAAAGGTTGTGGAAATGGTTTGTTTTTCAGGCATTTCATGTTCAACTCAAAATGCAAAGAGGTATTTCAAAAGAGCTATAAATATATAGTATATATCATTTGGGGGGGGGGTGGGGGAAACATTATTATTCTCATTTTACAAAATATTATTGAGTTTTACGCAAACATTAAATAGATGGTGTTTAGGTAAATCAAATATAACCAGGAATCCATAGGAATTTGATTCTTAAATGTTTACTCCTTTTGTTAGTGGTTTCAAAGCTGAACTAGAAGCAAAGCAGCAAACACACAGAAGTCATTAAAATAGAGACTGAGGAAATAATTTAAGCCATAATATGCCAGTAACTTGTTGGCCTCTTCAATTTTCTCCTACCAAAAGTGATCCCAGCCTGACAAAGAAACTCAAATGAGCCACATAAATCAAGAATGTTTTGAATCGTTGATATGACAGACACTGAAGGGAAAGTTAAACCAGTCTTTGCATAATCTGTTCCAGAACATACCAACTTATTTTTTAGGTATTCGTGGCTAGTTTGATACCTGCTTTGTACTGGGTAATGACTCCATTTCTATCAACTTCATCAAAGAAAGTAGGAATTTAATGTCCAACACATCTGGATGGTACTAATATAGGGAAGGTTGTCTTAGAGATTTAGACATGGTGTTATATTAGATGACCTCCATGGTGATTTTGTAATATGATGATGACCAGTTGATGGATATTCTCATGTAACTGTGTACAAGAAGGAATCCTAAAATAGATTTAGCTTACTTAATTTATAGGCCTTCACTGGAATTGAGAAAGAGTACCCAGATCACAAGAAGATCCACAGAGAAAGCAAGACTTTAAATTTCTTGCAATTGTTTCTGACTCACACCAAGCAAGTAGATTATGTAACGAGAAATGAATGCAGGGCAAAAGAGAAAATGAAACAGGTGTTGTGTTGGCATTGCATTTTTGCATAAAACTTCCTGGAATTAATTACCAATTATTAATTCTTGGATTCTTAGCTGAATGTCTCTTCCAGTGTAATGAAATTAATGTCAATTATAATTTTCCTTTTGTTGTTGTCATGGTATTGCTAAAAGACATTCTAAGAGGGAAATTTTTAGGACTGTTACAAAAGCAGTTCTTTCTTTTTTTCCTTTCCTTTGAAAACTGCTTCCATTTAAATGTTTGGAAGTTTGATTAGAACTAGTTTTATAGCGGCGTGGCAAAGCAATAATTTTAAAAAACCGCCCATTGTGTTTCCCTGTGAAGAAGAGAAGGGTAAAAAAAAGTCTTCCAAACACAATTCAGTTTTGTGATGCCAGCAAGTTCATAAGATACAGCCATACTCTTGAAACCAAATTAGTAACTCCCAACTAGCTAGGATTATATCTGAGAGTGTGGGTGCTCCATCATTGGAGCTTTTCAAAAATAGATTGGACAACCATTTGACTGGGCTGGTATAAAGTCTCCTGCCCTGAGCAGAGGTTGGACTAGAAGACCCCTAAGGTCCTATCCAGCCCTAAGATTCTACGTTCTAAACTATCTCAATGCCCGCACCTCATGTGTCGGACTGCATGCGCATGTGTGCACATGCCCCAGCCCACGGCTCACATGGCCCAGTTGCAAACAGGCCACAGCCCGGTTGTGGCCCACAGCAGTGGTGGGATTCAAATATGTGAACAACCGGTTCTCTGTGTGGATGCCACTTCTGGAAGTCCATTCTGGGCCTGGGCAACAAAAAATTAGCTACCGGTTCTGCCGAAGTGGTGTGAACTGGCTGAATCCCACCACTGGACCACAGTTTGGGGATGCCTGATCTAGTCCAACTGCTGTGCTCAAGCAGGAGACCCTATACCAGTGGTTCTCAACCTGTGGGTCGGGACCCCATTTGGGGTCGAACAACCATTTCACGGGGGTCGCCAAACAAGGCTGTCCGCCATTTTTTCCCCTTTTCTTTGGCCACGCCCCTGGCACCCGGTGATGTATAAGTGGTTGGGGATCACCACAACATGGGGAACTGTATTATGGGGTCGCGGCATTAGAAAGGTTGAGAACCACTGCCCTATACTATTTCTGACAAGTGGCTGTCCAATCTTTTCTTGAAAGCCTCCAGTGATAGAGCACCCACAACTTCTGGAGCCAAGCTGTTCCATTGGTTGATTGTTCTCACTGTCAGGAAATTTCTCCTTAGATCTAGGTTCCTTGATCAGTTTCCATCCATTCTTCCTTGTCCTGTCTTCAGGTGCTTTGGAGAATAGCTTGACCCCCTCTTCTTTGTGGCAGCCCCTGAGA